ACTATAGATAACTATCTTTAATCATATATGATCTATTTAAATTGACCAGGTTTGCGATTGGATAACTTTAAATGAGTCCCCTTATTGTATTCATTTATCATCATCAAATCTCGCTTTACCATATATTTTACTTATATTGCCTTCTTTTCAAATACTCAAGTGTCTAATGTATCTGGTCAGTTGAACACATCCTGCAGGTAGACTCTAGCTAGAGTATGATTAGCATAGCCCAGTGCTGCCTCTATGATGAAAACTTTCTCAGATGCATTTGGTCTGATAAGTCCCTAAATGTATTTCATACATATGTATGAATTTGAGAATTTCCTTTTCTCCTTATACATTTCAGGTTTAGGTATCCTTTATATATTCCCATATCGCCTACCCGCACACATTACAGGCAGAGGGGATATAAATCTTCAACAATCTGATGCTGATTTTTGCTGCAAGACAAACTCTTTTTCATATGAACTGTCTTCACAGAGCACTGCTGAATCAGCCTCCTCATCTGTAAGGATAGTGAGTGGGAGGGAGAGAGAACGGAATCGGGAATTTACAGGAGTGGCACTGCAGCCCCACTACTGAACTAGGTTAAAGCTTAGAGATTAAATTTCCTAATTTTGGATGTTTAAGTTTTTTGATTTATTGGTCTGTAGAGATACTTTTTGACATGAGGGATGTAAGGTGGTGGTAATCAGATTGCATGAGGGGAAGCATGTCTATAGGACAGGGATTTGTGCTGGTGGGAAATGCTGGAGATGGCCTGCATGGGAGCTTTGGCTGAGGGGGAGCATGCTTCTAGGGGAGAGGGTGGTGGTGGCGGCAGAAAGCTTTGTATGGTGGGTAGTGGGAGAGGGCGGCTGCTACATGTTAAGGTGGTGGAGGCTCATGTAAGGAAAGGAGAAGATGGTCATATGTAGTGACTAGCGAGTGACAGAAGTAGAGATGTTGTGGAAGGAAATCGTTGAGGGCACCACCGTCCGGAACTAGTTTTGTACCTGTGTGAGGCTGCTGTTGGCATAGAAGCACCCTTTAGTATTGTAGCTCACACTGACCGTACTCTATCGTTGCCAACCAAGAGATGAGCAGAATCGGCAGCAGTGAGATTTGTTAGTGGCAGAGCAGCAGAAAACATGTGCATTGGCAAGATAGGTGTGATAGTAGCATCAGTGAGAGAATTGTGCTGCAGTGGGGTTGGTGATCAGGGTGTGTGGGCAGTTATTTTGCAGCATTGGGGCTTATAATCAGGATTATGTCCAATTTGTTGCACAATCTATTCCATGAATCTAACTTCCTTGATTTGATTCAGTAACTCATGAAAATATGGGGTATCCTTTTTTCTCATTTCTACACCTTGAATACGGAGACCCAATAGGTATGTCAGAGGGTCTAGAGGTATAAAGTTTTCACCCCTTTTCGAAAGCAAGGCACCATTTCCCCTCCCCCCGGAAAAATGTGATGATAGGGCAAAACCACAGGACATGACGTTTTTGCCCACGGCTAAGTGGCAGTGCCAGCACAAGTTGCTGGCTGTGGGATAAATAGAATCCAGTAAATCTGATGTAGTATATCAGTACAATAGGACTGCATGTGTATTCTCTTATGTCATAAATATAGAGCTCTTGTGGGCTTAAGACCAAAGCATCTGCCAAATATACCCATTTCAACATGTAGGGATGATATGAGATGTCATTTTTTATATTTATATATTAAAATATATTCTAATCAAAGCCTTCCTAGAGGGTCCCTCCATACAGGTCATGTAAAATAAATTAAGCTGCCGAAATTTGAGAAATTATATTGAGAGATTGGGTGTGGGTGTCGGATGTGGAGATAACAGTATAAGGCTGAGGTAGGGAGTTCAAATCTGTCCCATATGTCAGAAAACAAAGAATTACTGGTATGGGAGTCAACCAATGTAAATAGATGCAGCGCAGACCCTCCGGGGCTGCATCATCTGTGTGTGTAGATTATCCGAGATATTCGAAGTGCACAAAACCAATGTGGTTTTCAAACAAAATTTGTTTTTAGTGGGCCTTCAGATTAGGGCTTAATCAATTTATCGATTTTAAATCGATGAGAATCTTTGTCAATGATTAGTTGAACCAGATCCCCGGTTTATGACACTCCAATTGTGTATTATTTTTTTTTATCCCATTAATCGGCCAACTAATTTATTATGAAAATAATCATTAGTTGCAGCCCTGCTCCAGATAAGTTTAATGAATTGTATTGGAGCCAGAAGATCAGATTCTGATATCGTACATTGCAAACTCCAGAGCAAAGAGTTGCTATGGAAGGGTGCCAACCAAATTTTCTCAAGTTCCATCCCGTGGTTATAAGCCTAAAATGAGGCCCAAGATGCCAGATATCTCAAGTAGATGGCAAAATATTTTGTTCTATCCAGAACTCCAAGCTCCCCTTGAGACCCGAGTATGCGCAGCAGCCCTCTAGAGCGTCTGTCGTGTTTGTGGATCCATAAGAAATTGAGCGAGCCTGGGTTTTTTTGTTTTTTTAGATCCTTAAAGGACCTTTTAATGCGGAGTGTTTCAAATTGGTAGTGAAGTTTCGGGATGGTCGAGAAAGAAGGAACGATTTCCACTAGTAGCAGGGCTGCTTTTACAGGTGAAACTCAAATAATTAGAATATCTTGCAAAGTTCATTTATTTCACTAATGCAACTTAAAAGGTGAAACTAATATATGAGATAGACTCATTACATGCAAAGCAAGATAATTCAAGCTGTGATTTGTCATAATTGTGATGATTATGGCTTACAGCTCATGACAACCCCAAGAACCCCAAATCCACAACCTCAAAAAAGTAGATTATTACATGCAATCAATAAAACAAGGATTGTACATAGAACAATATCGGACCTCTGAAAAGTACAAGCATGCATATGTACTCAGTACTTGGTTTGGGCCCCTTTTGCAGCACTTACTGCAATTACTTTTGCACGATATTCTAATTATTCGAGTTTCACCTGTATGTCTGTACACAGGGAAACGTTCCACTTAAAGAGGGACTGATATGTGGGCATAATGTGCATACCTAGTTATTTAATGGCATCTGTATTGAAAATGAAATGGAAGCTGCCTGAGAAGCTGAGGTGCTTAAATGTAACGGTAGTGCTTCAGTTTTAGCGGTATTCATTTTATATGTTATATCAAATTGCCGTATTTTCTGCACCAGTCTATCACCTCTTGACACTTCTTTATCCATTGTGTCTGATTTGCGCATTGCAGAGCCAATCGCCTCCCTGCCTCTCTCCTATGCTTCTTCTTTTACTTGACTAAACCATGACCTGCTCTTCCTCTTTTTGCTCCCATTCCCTATACTGTTCTCTTTGCTTACCAAACTCAGAACTCTAGTGGCTCAAATCAGTGACATCATTGAGACATACTTTGACAATCATCTCCCAAGCCCACGTTGTGTATACAGCAATTAGTTATATCTGCATGCTAAAATATTTTGGTTCTATGGGGGAAAAAAAGATTGTCGCTGTTAAATTTTTTTTGGTAAATTGATATTCAATATGATGTGACTTGCAGTAAAACTTCTCTGAGGTGTGTGCTTATATATCCAATTAAATTGTCTGGCTGTTCTGCCTGCACGTTTGCTACTGAGTTACCAAACATCTCTTTGCCTATTGGTGTGGAATAATTCAGACAAGGTCATGTATGAATCCAGAGAGATAAGATGATCAGCAAAGTGCAATCGCTATGAGTCTGAAAATGGAGTAAGCTCATTTACATATATACTAAAAAACATTGATAAGGTTGGATATTCTCTTTTGAATACCTTTGCTTGGCAGTACAAGTGTTCTAATGCAATGAATCAGGTAGATGGTTTTTCTCCATTTCCCACTATTTTGGCAATGGATGTAACCAAACTTCACTTTGGGTCTGGGTACTTAAAGTAGTAGTAAACTCTGAAAACTTCTTCTTTTCAGTAATGAATCCAGAACAAAAAAAATATGTTGTCCAGCAAAGTATTTCTTTACATTTTTACCCAAGCACTTAGTCATCATGTTTCCAACCAGCTGTCACCAACTCTCTCATCTCGGGTTCCCCGATCTTCCTGTCCGGTACAAGACTAGCTTGGAGGAGAGCAGGGAGGGAGGAGCGGGTAGCAGGGTATTGGTTTGCCTTGCTGTGCCTGTGTGTGTTTGTGCACACACAAGGGTGGCTCTATAAGACCATTCAGGGTGAATCAGTCACCCTAAAATAGGATGTTAGGGCCAGGCCTCAGGAGACCAGCTGGTTCTTCAGGAAGCTACAACTTTTAAACCTTAAGGAGCAACATCCATTGAAAGTGATTTAAACAGCATTTGAAATGGCTTAAAAAAAAACCTTATAATGTCAATGATCTCCTAGCAGTCTGATGTAAACTATTCATATACTATTGGTTCTGTAGCATATTCAGTCTCTAGCCAAACTTGTGGCATGTTCCCAGTCTCTTGCTGTCTTTTGTTGCAATATGTATGGACATTATGTAGGGGTCCTATGCATGTCCGTTGGCCTCCATATTACCATATGTGAACAAGAGAAAGTAATGTAAATATTGCTAATACGATTTTTATTTACATTTTCCACCCACTTAGTGTACAGCCCATTACAGAGCAGATGAGCTAATCACATCAGTTCCTACACCAATGAAGTCTAAAATTACAAAAAAATAGTACCCACTCTTAAATTCATGTCCAATGGCCAGTGTAGGCTGATTTATATTAACCCAACCCAATGTGTATCTGGAAGGAAAGTGGAGCACATTAGCAAATCCCACGCAAACCAAGGTTTTCAATATGACTTCCATGAAGATTGTGTCCCTTGTGAGAAGTTAACCAAGAACCTCAGTTTTGAAAACAGCATTTCTTGTCATTGTGCCACTCTAACAATGTGCTATATGCACCTAAAATTTGCCTTTGCATTAACATTTTGTGTATTCAGTCTTACAAAGTCTTTTTCCTTTTTTATAACCCAAAATTCTGTTTTATTGCAGCATAGAGTTTGACCGAGACTGTGATTACTTTGCCATCGCTGGGGTGACTAAGAAGATTAAAGTGTACGAGTATGGTACAGTTATCCAGGACGCTGTAGACATTCATTATCCAGAGAATGAAATGACCTGTAATTCTAAAATCAGGTACTAGATATTTTATCGTTACAGGATATTTAATGTTGTTCCTTTTTAATTTGATGTAATAGTATACATTTTTCTACAAATGTTTGCAAGATAACTTTAGCAGAATGTTAGCAGCTTGCTGGAAAGCTAAATAACAGTGACCCCCCCCCCCCAAATAAAAATAAACGTTCAGTCCTGAGGCAGCAATGTGCCGCAAGAGTGTCATCACCAGGTGATAGTGTCCTGATTAGTTGTAAACTCTGTGGCCTCAGGGCCGGGTCACATCGTAAACAATGCGTTCCTGAGTGGTCAGCCTCTGGAATGCAATGTATCGCATTCCGGCTGGCTTCCTGCATTCAGGGGCAGGATGGGGAGTGGCCGTGCATTGAATGCAATGGCACTACAGCCACGCCCGCAGTGCAATCACCTGCAACAGAACTCGTGGCACATTAGTGCCTGCATTCTGACCCATTGCGATCTGCAAAAATGCGGCAAGCACTGTTTTTGCAGATCGCACCTTACCGAAAAGCAGGCATTGATGTGCCACGTGTTCTGGTGCGTGCGATCACACTGGGGGCGTGGCTGCGGTGCCATTGACTTCAATGCACCGTCTCGCCCCTGAACACAGGAAGCCGGTTGGAATGCGATACAGTGCATTCCAGAGGATGACCGATCTGGAACGCACTGTTTATGTTGTGAACCAGCCCTTAATCCACAAAAAATGACTATTTGTGGTATTAATTGGCACTGATGATCTAGATCAGCCTCTGGCTACTATTGGTCTGTATCCTGTCCCAGATCAGTGGCTAGTTCAGCAGCCAAAATGCCCTAATGTGCTCAGCTACCTTACATTAGACAGGAAGTACAGGACACCCTTGTAGTGTCTGCAGCGGGTGGGCAAGCCTTGAAATCGGGAGATGCCAGGGTTTCCAAAACTTTCTAGAAGCTCTAAATTGGCACAGTTAACTGGCGTTCAATGACAACTACACAGGTAATAGGATTTACATAACTTTGTCATCTTTGTGCCAGTAGCTTTAGTTGTGAAGTAGATACTGACCCTGGATAATGCCTTCCAATTTCATCGGCTGGGAAAGAAGATTAAAGCATTGTCAAGTATTAAGATAATTTGGATGTATTTTCTAATGCTACTGAGGTTACCTTCTAAGAGCTGTCCACCTAGAGGCATGCTAAACTGACTGCAGTTAATCTTCTCTTAAGCAGCACACTAACATGAGCAGAGTCACCCGATCTGGCCATTAACGACTGGACAAATGAGATCATTGCTCAGTCCAGTCGTTAATGGCCAGATCGGGTGACTCTGCTCATGTTAGTGTGCTGCTTAAGAGAAGATTAACTGCAGTCAGTTTAGCATAACAAACATGCAAACTTTCCTTAGTCCATTTGTTATATTGAAATGGGTATGTGACATATTTAAATGGTTTTTGGATTTTTTCAGTGACTCCCTGTAATTTAATTTGTAGAAGAAATATTGATCTGTTGCAAGAAATAATTCCCCCCAGTAGTTTAGTTTAGTTGAGATTAAATAACTTAGTCTGGAAATTCTGTCTGTCTTTAATTAATGTGACTGTAGATTGGTCCAGGCTTATTATGTACGGTCCCAGCAAGCTGCTGCCTATTTGTGTGTCTCTGGCTGCACTGAGGACACATTCCACAATCCGCTCTGTCTCCTTTTCAAATCATGGTGTGATACATGTCTGCTCCCGTCAATGCTGTACTGAGCTCACTGAGCACTAATCTGCAGTATGCCAGCTGTGTCCCCCAGCTCTGACTGCCTCCTCTGTACCAGCAGTGTACTTGGAGCGTAGCCACACACCAGCTGGATCACCCATTCTTCTCACCTGCTTCCTGAACACATCCATCGCCTGTCTCCTTCCAATCTGTATTCACAGAATGGACCCCCAGGAAATGCACTTCATGTTCATTTATTGTGGCATTCC